AGTGTTGCCAGAGATGGCAGACGCCTCACTGGGGCGCAAAACGCACCGGCCGAGCCGAGCCGAGTTCTAGTAGTTGCCGAATTATGTAGATGAGGGAGGCTCAAAACAGAGAAGAATGGAAAAATCGCTGACTGTACCAGTAGCGAGGAGAAACCTTTCGATGAAAGTACAAAGTAAACAGCGGAAAAACCGGAGATTTGGAATATTATATTTATTAAAAATAACAAACCTGTACGGATGATAAACAATTAAGCAGCAATCCAGAATTTCCAGAAGAAAAAACTCTGCTTCTTGAATATGCTGTACACGTATCATCAGATCTTGTTGTATGAAAGGCCATCGTTTCACTGCAACATTTTTTTTTCGACAAAAAATTCATAAAGACAGACCCTGTTTGAAAAATAATGGCTCACTAAATTACTGTTATACCTAGTAGCTTGTACAAGTCGAAAATACTTACATGCATTGTTTGTGGCTTGTATGAGCTTGTTATGTGACATCATCCCGTGTTCTTCGACCTTTGAGGCCAAGAATAATGAAGTGGGCGCCAGAAGAAACGGATCAATGTCTTTCAATGAGCGCCTATAAATTACTTCATGAAAATGCGCAAACAGAAAGGAGAACGACTGGAAGGGATTACTGAATACCACACTAAACCATCTGAATTATCTTGTTACCACAATCGTCGTACTGACAAGGTCCAACTGTGGTAACGGTAAGAAATGTATGCGATTTAATGGACCGAAAAATTTCTTACCTATTACAAATATTTCCATAATCCCCTTTCCCCTTCTTACTTCGCTTTTTCTTTGTTTTCTTCCCTTCTTCATCTTTTTTATTTCATTATTTTCTCTTTAATCTTCAATTAGTTTAAGATTCTATTAAAATCTTGAAATTTGAAATCCCTCCCGCATTTTATTCAAGTACAATCAATCTCTTTATGATTCGTTCATTCGCTTCGATGGCAAATTGGTACTGATGCATGTCAAAGGAGTTAAACCTACCATGGTTTTCATGTACGGGCAATTAAAAGTTTTTGCGGGAGAAACTGCTCACTGAACAGCCAGGTAATTTTCAAAGAGCAACCGTTAAACGGGAACTGTTCATTCCTCTTATGCAGAATTTACGATGATTTACACTAGTAAGCGCAAAAGGTAGGTGTAAAGCAACAACCATTCATGCAATCAACGACTTGCTTACAAGCAACTCTCGAAAGGGAGGGAGGGGGGCTATTGGAGACTTTGATAGCAAAGGGATGCTGTTAGCCTTTGCTATAACTTGAGTTTTGGCTCTGACTTCACTTTCAATCTGAAGAATCGCATTCTGGCCAAAATCTATGACATTTTCATAACTCCCTCACAAGC